GCATCTGACCAACTAGGCTGAAGGAAGGCATGAAAAATGGGACCCACCCTGGTAAAAGTTTCTACCATCCCTACCCATCTGGTGCTCACTCTAAAATTAATGAGTAAATCTTTTCATGTACTAGTGGTGCTTTCAAACTGCTGTCCCTGTGTTGAGTCTTGGACCTAGTGAGTGTGGTGTATCGGCCCTTGAAGAGTGGAATCTTGGTTTCCTGTAGCTAACTGGGTCTTCTGAAGTTAAGCTCAGCTGGTTTTGAAGGCTCCCAGAGTTAAGCCTCACTGATTTTGAAAGCCAGACATTAAGGGTGCTCACATTTCTGGTTCAGATCCCCAGGACTGTGGGGTTGAGGGTTGTCCATTCTGAGGCTTGATCCCCTTGCTCCTCTGGTAGGACCTCTTCACCTCTGATATCTCTCCCACTTGTGGGTTTCCCTGCAGGAGTTTGGTTCCCCTCCTACACCTCTTGATGTGAGTCTCTGTATATCGTTGGCTGTGGGAACACGATTCTACTAGTCTTTAGGTTGTTTTCAAAAAGTTGCAGTATATATAGTTGTAGCCCTGGTATATCTGTGGAAGGAGGTGAGCTCAGAACCTCCTACTCTCCTATCATCCCTGAGTCTCCTTCATGTGTGGCATTTTTAACATATTTTGTCAAATCACATAGACTTTGTCTATGTTTTGAGAGCCATGAGCAACAAGGACGTGTTTTGCTGATGTGCAATTCTCAGTTTATGTATAACACTATTGGAAGTTGAAATTCCTGGCTGTTCTCCGTTGTCTGTGAGTTAGCCTCATAGCAATTAACACAATTTGTAATTACTTATTTATTGTGTTTACATGTGATTAACATCTGTACTTCCTTGAGGCAAGGATGATTATCCTCACAAATACATATATTTTCTTGTACCCTATCAGGATGGTTATTTGTCCCAGCATTATATAATCTTTTAAAAAGGGAGTCATAGAGTCTGTCCATTTGTAATGATCTTACCATTATTTCAAAATGTTCTTGGGTAGCATTAAATTTTACTCTACATTCCAGGAGTATTTTTATTCTCCTCGAGGGTGTTGGTATGGGTTTACATGAAAAATTCTTTTCAGTTCAGAGTGGAAAAATTCTAGAAAAAACTAACGTACCTATGAACCCAATTGAAAGGAAATTTTCCAGAGTAAGCACTATCATAAAATTAGTATCAGAATTCACAGCTATAGTTTTGTTCCACATTTTCTTCATTGATCGTATAGTGCCTTTATACAGTAATAAATATGCTAAATAGGAAAATGACTAAATAAAATTTTATATATGTGTAAAATCTATTCTAAAATACACATTTTACCAAAATTAAATAGGGTAAGATTGAATCATGAATATTTGAAACCTGGAACACAATGTGTCACACATAAATCAAATGTTACATCTTCCTTCATTTTTTAAATTAATTTCAATTAAGATGTAGTTACTATATAGTTTTATATTAGTTTTGGATGTACAACATAGCAATTCAACGATTGCATATATTATTCTGGGCTCATCAAGGTAAGCGTACTTTTAATCCCCTTCACTTATTTCACCAATTCCCCCACCCACCCCCCTCTGGTGGCCATCGGTTTGTTCTCTATGGTTAAGAGTCTGTTTCTTGATTTGTCTCTCTCTGTCTCTTCCCTTTGCTCATTTGTTTTGCTTCTTAAATTACCTATGAATGAAATCATTTGTATTTGTCTTTCTCTGACAGACTTATTTCAGTTGGCGTTACACTTTCTAGATGCATCCACCTTGTTGCAAATGGCAAGATCTCATTCTTTGTTTATGGCTGAATAACGTTCTGTTATAGATATATATCACATGTTCTTCATGCATTTGTCAGTTGGTGGACCCTTAGGCTGCTTCCATACTTTGTCTATTGTAAATAATGCTTCAGTTAGCATAGGGATGCATCTACCTCTTTGAATTAGTGTGGATACATACACAGTGGTGGGATTACTGGGCACAGTGTAGTTATATTTTTAATTTTTTGAGGAACCTCTATACTGTATTCCAGAGTGGCCACATCAGTTTGCATTTTCATCAGTTTGTGAAGGTTCCTTTTTCTCCATATCTTCACCAATAGTTGTTTCTTGAGCTTTTGATTTTAGCTATTCTGACCAGTGTGAGGTGATATCTCATTGTGGTTTTGATGGACATTTCCCTGATGATTAGTGATGTCGAGTATATTTTCATGTATCTGTTCACCATAGGTAGGCCATCTTTGGAGAAATGTCTGTTCATGTCTTTCATCAACCTTTTAAAATTTATCAACAGGTAAATGGACACATAAATTATGATATATGCATACAATAAGCAAAATAAATAAACTACTAATGCACACTACAACATGAATGAATCTCAAAAATAATAAATACAGTATGATTGTATTGATATGAAATGTTAAAAGTGTAAATCTATAGTTAGAGTAAGGAGGGGATAGGAGGGGCTCAGGTTATATTTACAAGTGTATAAAATGAGTTTCTCAGAGATGATGGCTCATTATCTTGATTGTAGTGATAGTTTCAAAGTCATATTCAAGGTCCAAACTTATTAATTTCTATCCTTTTAAATATGTGCAGTTTATTACATTTCAGTTTTATCTAAATAAAACAGTATTAAACAATAAAATAATTTTCTTGACCTTCTCTAATTCAAGATTTAATCAGGAAGCTTTATTTTAACTTTCAAAGTTGACATAATCTAGGATTTTAGATACAGTTTGTTATTATTGAATAGTTAGTTGCCTTTGATTTTTAACGCTATTTCAATACCTAGGCTTAATATTTTAACTTCTTACAATGCTTATAATTAAATCTTTATTCCATAACTTCTCAATTTTTGAGAATATTATTATTCATTTGTTGCTTTCCTGGATTATAACTTGAGGAATTCATATGCACAGTGGTGTATTTTCTGAGACATTCCAGAATCATACATTTGTGTTCTTAGATGAGACATGCTTGTGTAAAACATTTGGGGAACTCGTTTCTGCTTTCAGAGGTCTATAAAATATCCCCAGTGTTTCCTGGTACGGAACCCTTCATTGTAGGTAACATTTTCTTCCTATACATTCTTGGAATAACTTTAGTGTCCAACTCTTGATTTTGGCTCAGGTCATGATCTCATGGTTGTGAGATGGAGCCTCACCTCAGACTCCCTGTTGGGCATGGATCCTGCTTAGGATTCTCTCTCTCCCTTCCTTCTGCCCCTCCCCCACTCAAGGACACACTAAAAAATATATTAATCATGCAGTGTCTAGATATGGGGTTCCTTTCTGTTAATTGTGGTATTAAGTGGACCCTTTTGATTTTAAGACATTCCATAGTTTGAGTTCTCTTATTTTTTGTTTCCTTTATTGTTGATGTCTACTCTACTTGTTATTTTCTTTTCTCCAGGAACTACAGTTCTCTATTAATTAAATGTCTATTTTTTGTCCTCGACTCTGTTACCTTTTCAACTAATACCTTCTTTTATTAATCCTCGTTTGATTTCCTACAGTATCAGTTCTCCTTTTACTACTTTTAAAGCAAAATTATAATCTGTATCACAATAGGAAATACTTCCTTTTCTTATCCATTTTTTCATCTCTTCCTCCACTTTAATTAGCTCATTTTTACCTCATATTTAAGTTTTTATTCAAATTCCAGTTAAAATACAGTGTATTAATAGTTTTAGAGGTACAGTTTAGTGATTCAATACTTATATACAACACCCAGTGTATATCACAAGTGCACCTAATCCTTATCACCTATTTAATCCATCTCCCCATTTACCTCCATCTGGTAACCCTCACTTTCTTCTTTATAGTTAAGAGTCTCTTTCTTAGTTTGCCTCTCTCTCTCTCTCTCTCTCTCTTTTTCCCTTTGCTTGTTTGTTTTGTTTCTCCAGTTCCCCATAGGAGTGAAGTAATACGGTATTTGTCTTTCTTTGACTGACTCATTTCACTTAGCATAATACTCTCTAGCTCCATCCATGTCATTGCAAATGGTAAGATTTCATTATTTTTATGGCTGAGTTATGTTCCATTGTGTATATATATCACATCGTCTTTATCCATTTATCAGTTCATGGACACTTCAGCTGTTTCCATAATTGGGCTATTGTAGATTATGCTGCAGTAAACATTAGGTGTATGTATCCCTTTGAATTAGTAATTTTGTATTCTTTGGGTAAATAACTAGTAGTGTGATTTCTGGATCATGGGGTAGTTCTATTTTTAACTTTTTGAGGAATCCCCATACTCTTTTCCAGAGTGGCTGTACCAGTTTAAATTCCCATCAGTAGTGCAAGAGGTTTCTCCTTTATTCTCAGCAATACCTGTTGTTTCTTGTATTGAGGATTTTTAGCCATTTTGACAGGTTTTGAGATGATATCTCATTGTAGTTTTGATTTGTATTTCCCTGGTGATTAGTGATGTTGACCATCTTTTCATGTATCTTTTGGCCATCTGGATGTCTTCTTTGGAAAAGTATCTATCCGTGTCTTCTTCCCATTTTTAATTGGCTTATTAGTTTTTGGAGTGTCGAGTTTTATAAGTTCTTTATATATTTTGGATACTAACCCTTTATAAGATACATCATTTATAAATATTTTGTCTGATTCAGTAGGTTGTCTTTTAGTTTTGCTTGTTGTTTCCTTTGTTGTGCAGAACCTACCTCTTCCTTATTGAGAAGGAAATAAAAACCCTCAGAAAGCCTTCAGGAACTGTCTCATAAACATAGATCTCAACTCACAGTTGTTTGCATTTAAATATGTAACAGTTAATTAGACTCAGTGACATCCCAAGAATGGCAAAGTAGAAAGCCCCAGGCCATCCTTACTCCCACAAACGCACTAATTGAACAACAATTTACAGATAAAATCCTTTTGAGAAATTCAGAAACTAAATGAAAGGCTCTTGCCCTCTGGAAAAACAGAAAACCAGACTCACTGAAGCTGGTAAGGAGATATGGCACACTCTCTCACCATTCCCTTACCTGAGTTAATTCCATAGGATCAGAAAGAGACCTTGAAGCTCCTAGCTTCTCCCAGAGGAGGGACAGTGTTGCTTTGCATGTCTAACTCCCCAATTTTCCAAAGGGGTTCCCCAGAGGATTTATCTCAGTTCTGCAAGTCTTGGAGCTCAGATGGGTCCACTGCAATCTAGCATCTTGTGGGAGAACACAGACAATAGCTTGGGCTGGAAGATGCCATAACTTTCCCTCATGGCTCCCCATAGAGTGAGATAACAAAAAGGAAACTAAAGGCATATAAAGAACTTTTCAACCTGAAACAGCAGAATATACATTTTTCTCAAGTGTACCTGATTCCTTCTCTGGGGAAAATCACATGTTACTTCACAGAACAAATCTCAATGAATTTAAGGTTAAAGTTATATTTTCTATCTTTTTGCACCACAGTGGGATAAAATAACAAATCAAGAGCAGAAGGAAATCTTGAAGATTCACAAAAATGTGGAAATGAAACAACATACTTTTGAGCAATTATTTGGTAAAAGAAAACAATTTATAGAAATTTCAGAATACCTCAAGACAAATGAAAATCCATAAAAATACTATCACTTAAAGGATGTAGCATAATCAGTATACAGAAGGACATTCACAGTGATGAACAAGTACACTAAAGGAGAAGAAAGGTTTCAAATAAAATACCTAACTTTACGCTTACTTGAATGAGCTGGAAAAAGAATAACAAACCAAGGCCAAACTTAGTGGAAGGAAGAAAATAACAAAAGTAAAAGCAAAAATAAATGAAATAGAAAATAGGAAAACAATGGGAAAAAATCAATAAAACTGAGTTTTTTTTTTAAAAGATAAACAAAATTGATCAACCCTTAGCCAAACTAAGTGAGAGCAAGAGAAGACTAAAATCAGAAATGAAGGAACATTGCAAATGATAACACAAAAATGAGAAGGATTTTAAGAGACTATAGGCTAACTGGATAGTCCAGAACAAGTGGATAAATTCCTAGAAGTACACAATGTTTCCAAAGTAAATCATAAGGAAAGGGAATATGTGAACAGATCCATAGTTGGTATGGTATAGAGATTGAATCACTATTCAAAAACTTTCCATCGAAGAAAAACCCAGGATCAGATGCCTTCACTGTTGATTTCTACCAAATACTTAAAAAAAAAAAAAAATCCTGTGAATCAAGTCAATCCTTCTCAGGTGCTTGCAATAAATTCAAACTAATCTAAGCAATTAAGAATTAAGTATGTATAAAATAATAGTGTCTAAACCAGCTGGTTACCAAGATCACTTGGGAGTCCTTTAAAAGGTAGAGATTACAGAGTCTCTTCCCCAGAGGGTAGGATTCATCAGTTGGCAGGTGGAGGTCTTGCAATCAGAATCTTAAAAATCTGTTTCTGATAGAGTTTGGTTTTCACTTAGATGGCAGCCCCTTAGGAGAGGTGGTCTATTCCCAGGAGAATGGTGGGCAGGTTCCAGCTCCTTGTGACACTTCCCGTGTTCTTCCCCGCCCCCTCCTTTCTTCTTGTGATCTCACAACTGCTCCCCCTTTTAAAGCTGTATTGAGATACGTCTGGATTTACAAAGAGGGGTTGTCCTGAAAACAGCCCTCTAGAATAACTTAGGGGTTTAGGGGTGGCTTCCTGGTATACTTCGTAGTTCTCCTTGTTGTCTACTTACAAACCATGAACAAGAATTGCTCCTTCTGTAGAAAACTCCTGCTCTTTTTTTTTTTTTTTTTTTTTGGTCATAGCTATTTTCTTTTGCAGGGTCTAAAATCAAATGATCTACGATCTACTTCTCAAATAGTAACTGAATAAGAATGAACATGGTTTTGAGTTTTTCGTTTGTTTTCTTTGTCAATGTCTAGTAACCAGTAGACAACAAAAGGAATGAAAAAAGTTCACCAAGGCTTTAAGGTCTAAAACTAGCTATGTCTTCTTTGAAGTGTAGCTGTTAAAGCCATCTTTTTTTCCCCTCTCTTTTAACTTTCCTTGAGAGTTAGAGACAGCTAGGCAAGCCTTCTAGCTACATTTTTATTCCTTGAATTAATGTATCAACACTTTCTCACCTTTTAAATCCTCTTTTTCACGCTCCCTTGTCTTTGATTTTACCCCAGTTCACATACATAGGGTCAGGCAAACCAGGCACTGTGGGTGCCTGGCTGAGCCAAGGAGGCAAGATGGTTTCTCTTAGCAGAAAATACAGAAATGGAAAATGTAATATCATGGTTCTTATATGGTGCCGTAACTTGGATGGCCTCAGATTAAATGGGCAATCACTTCCAAACTATCACAGTTCTTGTACAGTGGAGGCATCTGGCTCAATGCTTTTGGAGTATATTAACCCTGTGCAGGGTTTGTTGGAGTTGATTCCTAGATGCTAGCTTTTCTCTTTCCTACCTGTTCCGGTGATCACTGTCAAACCTCACGTTCTCTATGAATGTTCAGTTTTTGTGAAGGATATGTAAGAGGCTTGCTGAAGAAATGCTAAAAACTACTCACACAGATATAGTATTTTACACCCACTTAACGTACAGTAAGCTGGTTGCTGATTTTTGCAACGTCTCAAAACATACTAATTTCTGTGTTTAAAAAAAGCAAGCAGGTTGATACACTTAGCCTCAAGGACCGTCTTTCTTTAACTTCCTTTGTTTAAGACCTTTTGAATTGTGAGGCTCCTTAGTTTGGGGAGGAATTAAAAGAGAGTGGTAGGAAGGTGCTGTAGAGAAAATGTCTACACAACAATGTGGCTACCAGTTTTGAAACTGAGGCATCTCCCAAAGGGATGTTTCCAGCGAGTAGGTGGAAAATGAAAGTATTTGCAAAGAAGCGAGTGCTTTATCAACACAAGAATTTGCTGTGTTTTACAATTAAAAACAAAAAGCATTTAGCCTGGAAACATTTTAAGTCTCTTTTTTTCTTTTAGTACCTCTCAAATAGTGTGGTTTATAATATACAATATATTCCTACAAGAAAAGTGATGTTCACACAATACTTATATGAGCTCCTGTTTTAATTGTCTGGCACACAATCCATGCATGTGCTCGGTAATTTTTTGTGGTGTGAAACATTTTAATTTTCTCTATGTTCATTTATTTTTGAGAGAGAGAGTGAGAGAAAGCAAGCAGGGGAGGGGCAGAGAGTGAGGGAGACACAGAATCCAAAGCAGGCTCCAGGCTTTGAGCTGTCAGCACAGAGCCTGATGTGGGACTTGAACTCACAAACCATGAGGTCATGGCCTGAGTCAGTTGACGCTCAACTGACTGAGACACCCAGGAGCCCCTGAGCTATGAAGCATTTTAGAAGTAACATCCTTGGAAAGCTGATGTGCTTGCTGGAGCCTCTCCCTTTTGTGCTTTCATATGCAACCTCTTAACACCAGCAGAGCAATTACAACTCCCTTTTAGGTTTTTTTTTTTTCCCCCTCTGTTTTGTTTTAAATTTTAGAGTGAGGAATCTTTTGTTGCTTTCAGCCATGTCACATCACCTCCTCATTGACTCACCAACACTGTGCCACATGGGTCACTGTGGCACTTTTATCTTTATTCTGCTTACACGTTGAGATAGAAGATGATTTTCTTGGGGTTCGTGGGTGGCTCAGTCAGTTAAGCGTCCGACTTCAGCTCAGGTCATGATCTCACAGTCCGTGAGTTCAAGCCCCGCATCGGGCTCTGAGCTGACAGCTCAGAGCCTGGAGCCTGCTTCGGATTCTGGGTCTCCCTCTCTCTCTGACCCTCCCCCGTTCATGCTCTGTCTCTCTTTGTCTCAAAAATAAATAAACGTTAAAAAAAAAAAAAAGATGATTTTCTTGGAGACAGACTGCATTATTCCAGGTCAGGCTCTCAAATGCCTTTGAAAGGCTCCCTTGTTGACACTTGGGAGAAGTAACGGGACAACCATGAGGAACGTTCCCTGGGAGAACCTCTTGTTGCCTTGCATGCTTCGCTTGAAGGTAGAATGCATTTATGACTTTGCTTTAAGAGTAGACGTCAGGAAGATAATCAGTTGTCTAACACATTAGGATTGGAAGTAAGGTCAAATCATCAGATTGTGAGACTTAAGCAGATGAGGTAGTGATTGAGGAAGCATGACATCCATCGGTAGAACTGGGCCACAGAACCATAAAGAAGATTGAATGGCTCACTTGTTCGGTACATTTTAATTTCGTTCTTGGAGTGGATGCTTTTGCTGGCTCTCTTGGTTTTCAGTTTATTAAAGTGGGCATTGGCTTTTTAAATTCAACTTGGTTTCTCTACATTTATTACTGTCTTGTTTGACTAAGGTGGCACAATCTCATTACAATTTTTAACGGTCTCATCGGTAAAAAGCACTTGAGGATATAAATTCACTTCGGCGGGATGTTGACTCATCAGTAAAAACTGTTTTTGGACATAAACACAGTTTGGCTGTAATTTGGCTGAAGTATGAATTTTGCTTTATTTTTAAAAATTGTTCTACCATGAAGTGCTAAAACTTTAAAACTCTCAATAGAACATTCAGTTCTATCCAACTAAGTTGACCATCTGATTGGCAGTTAATATGTGCCCAACATGTGGGAAAGTACACATTAAGCATAGGGGTAAAAGGCATGGCTTACTTTGGAAAAGTCAAATACATTGTTTCTATATCTAAGCTTATATGTGCTTAATGATAAGAGGACTAAACACTGGAAATAGCATACCATATTTACCGGGACACCTGGGTGGCTCATTCGGCTAAGCATTCAACCATTGATTTTGGCGCAGGTCATGATCTCAAGGTTTGTGCAACTGAGCTCCATGTCAGGCTCTGGGCTGACAGTGCAGAACCTGCTTGGGATTCTCTCTCCCCGCCCCCTTCTCTGTCTCTCCCCCACTTTTGCACATGCTACTTCTCTTTCAAAATAAACATTTTTTCAAATACCGTATTTATTGATTCTAATATTTTTCAATTTTCTAACATTGGGTTGTGATGTTTATTCATTGTATATGGGTAACATATTGTCTTTCTCTCCTTCCCTGTTCTTATCCACTGACCACTGACAAGTTGTTTGAAGATGTATGGTTTCTTTGTTTCCTGACTAGCAGTGTCTTATACTTCGCTACCTGAAAATGACAGTGCATTGAAGGAACCCTGAGTATAAGGTATAAAAATGACTGTGGTAAAGACACAGAAGGAGAGAAGCTAGTTCAGGAAGGGGTGGATGTAGGAACAAATGCCCTCAGTTTGGAATGAGCATGTTGTGATCAGAAGGTTAAAGACAGATTGCCAGCAGTAGAAGGAGACACCCTCAGAGTCATGGAGCTCAACTCATAGGCAAAGTGGGTCCTGATAATGGAGTGTAAACTTAGACTTAAAGGATTGGTTTTGAATACCTTTGATAAGTGAAGCCTCTTTACAGACTTTTGAACAGGGAAGTAGCAAAAGGAAGCAGGGTTTCCATATTTATGGGTCACTTGTAGATCAGGAGGAAGATGCTGGGAGAGGTAGCTATATATACAGGAAACAGATAAAAGGACGCTTTTGGGTTCTTACACACATTTGGAAGAATGATAAAGAGCGGGTAAGACAGAAAAGCTGAAAGGTCTGTTTTAGACCAGATAGCTCATGAGCAGTCTGCATATGTGGATAAATCCTTTGTAAGGGACGCTGTAAGTGTTGAAATAAATGGACGAGTACTTAAAAATATTATACACTGGCTGAATATTCAAATAGATTCAGCTGCTACATGTGAAGAAAAAGGGAATAAGAAAAGAGAAAGAGTGAACAGTTATTTTAATTCAGGCATGGGGATAAAGATAGAGGAAGAAAAACAAGAATATCAAATTGAATAAGCAGATTTTTAGCATATTTCATGGTAGTCAATGATAAATAGAGTAGTATCTACATATACTTTATGCATTCATGACCTTTTTCTCATTTTTTTTTTTTTTATTCTTTTGGGCTGCATGGTTTGTCTGCCAGTGTTTTTCAAATTGTCACAAATCTCCAAAAATGTTTCCAGTATATTTACTGGGGGGGGGGCTCTTGTGGTTTCAGGGGAACATGAATAAACGAACCTACGTAGTTCAAACCTGTGATGTTTAAGGGTCAAGTTTACTTTGTTAAGGCAGAAATAGGAAACTAACACAAGTTGGTTTTGGGGAAAGGCATGTCAGCATTTAGTAGTGGGAAGGATAAGTTTTGACATTTGGAACATTGATTCTGCAAATATTTAGCTGAAGTGTCTTGGGGGAACTGCTTATATTCTTTTGATGTCACTTTCTTTATTATTTCCTGGGCATCCAGAAAGACTTGTACTTGGTTCTATATGTTCTGTCTCTGACTGGCCTTTTTTTTCTGACTCTTAAAGTGCTCATGGTCTCTGGTATTCTCACTTTCTCCTTTCTGATTTCCTTTCTAATGATTTGACTCTTGTACAAATTGCATACATATATTTTTTTAAATGATTCCCTTAGAGGTCACTAGCAGGGTACATCAAGCTCAACTTGTTTC